GCGCGGTGCGGCGGGCGGCGGCGGTTCCCGGGCAGCGGGTGGTGCCCGTCGCCTGCCCGCAGGAGGGCCGGAGCCGGCAGAGGGGTTCTGCTTCCTCTGGGCTGCGCGGGCCTCTGTGAAAAACTGAGAGAAGGGGCCCCCCGAAACTGTTGGCCGTAAAGAGCGGTGAGCAGGAGAGTCAGAGCAGTAAAGAGCCTCGCCCGGGGAGGGAACGGAGGTAATTAAGGGTTCGCTGGCATTTAGCAAAGATCTCGGGGTCCTCAAAACCTGAGGTGCTCGGCTGAAGCTCCATCGAATGGGCGGAAGCTGCTTTTCGGGATGAGGTATTTAGACAAGTTCTTCCAACCTTTTTTGGTGCGAAGGACAGAAGGAGCGTTAGCAGAACGTACGAGTTTCAGCCTGTTTGTCAGAAAGCTGCCTACGGGGGGTGAAGAGGCAATCTCCTGTGAAATCTAGTTAGGGGTAAAAATGGGCTGAAAATAGTTTATGGTGGCTGTTTTGTCCAGATACTCTAACTGGCTGCTCAGACGTTACAAGTACCTTTATTTTCCTCAGCTGATACTTAGTGCATTGCAAAGAGGAGAATGCATTGCCTTTGGGGAAAAAAAAAAATAAAGATGATTTTGTCTTTTATCGTGACAAGTATCAGTACGGCTGCGGCCAGGAGCCTGCAGAACTCCTCGGGCGGGAGCACGGGTCCTTGTGCCCCCGTGGTGCAGCCGGGGCGGAGAGCAGCTGCAGAGGGCGCGTTCGAGTCGCGTCGCTGTAGCGGGAGGGCGCTGCCCACCCGCGCTCGCCCCCCGGGGAGGAGAAGGGATCTGGGAAGGGATAAGGCCACGCGCAAGAGCAAGCGGGAGGTGCCGTTCGGAGGCAGCAGCAATCCTCCTCCTAACTAGAGCGCGAGGCGTGGCTGGGTGGGCAAAGGTGTGGCCCAGAGCGCCGCTGGGCAGTTCTGCGGGGCGCGAGCTGAAGCAGAGAGGACCCGAGCTGCCGTGGGAAACCAAGCGCCTGCTGGGGGCGAGTGTTGTCCCCGACGCGGGGGGTAGTTCTTCCGTTCTCCTTGGCGAGTGTCCACTTGGAGGCAGTGAGCTCCAGGAGCGGTTTGTGTTAGCAGAAGGTGAGCTGCAGGGGAGCAACAAGAATGACCAGAGGTGTAGAACGTGACACAGGGAGAAAAGTTGAAAGAATTTGGTCAGCTTGGTCAAGAGAAGACAGGATTACGTGGCGGCCTGTGCCTCATCCTGTGCCTTAGAGCACCTTCCTGGTGTCCGTGGTGGGTCTAGGTTGCAGCAAGGTAAATTTCGTGCTGCATCAGGCAAAACCAAACAAAAGGAAAAAACGCAGCACTGTTTTAATAGAATCATGAAGCCAAGGACTGGCTTCCTAGGACATTTCCTAACTCTCCTCGGGAGCGGTTAAGAGCAGGCCAGAGAAGCATCTGTCCAGGACTTGCAGAAGCCTCTTTGATCGTGCTTTGAAAAGGGGGTTGGAGTAGACGATTTCTCAAAGTTTGTCAATTTTCTACGATGTTAATGCGTTTCTAGAATCTGTGTTTTCAGCCAGCTTGACCGAGTATCTCCGGACACCGTAACGTGGCTCTTTTTCCGTTCCATTGCTCAGGCCTTCTCCGAGTACCAGATCCAGCAGATGACAGCTAACTTTGTGGATCAGTTCGGCTTTAACGACGAGGAGTTTGCAGACCAGGATGATAATATCAAGTAAGTTGATAAAACTTCAGGAGGCTTAGATGTGGCGTTGAAGCCTCTTTGCATCTCGTCTTTCTTCGTCCCGTCAGGGTTTCAAGGGAAGCTCGCTGTGTGCCTCCTGTGGTTTGGAACAAACCAAAAACCGCTGATCTCTTCGTCTTTTTATAGGGGTCCACCCTGATCTCCTTGTGGCACCAAGGAGAAGTACTTCATTCTGATGAGAAACATTTTTAATAAAGCACACAATTATTATCCAGCCATATTCTAGAATGAATTCAGTTGCACAGAAAGCAAAGCATTAGAGCTAACTGTAGGCAATTATGCAGATATTCTCCAGGGGTGTTAAGCCTTTATTGAAATTAGGAGTAGAAAGAATAGTGTTCTGATGAAGTCCGTGGAAGGATGTAGCCGTTTTCTCTCTTACAAGAAAGGAAACACAGGTAAGGCAGGAGCGAATGACGGTTCCAAGAAGGCAGATACAGGGGGACTTAATGTTACGTGACTCGCTGAATTCGGTGCTCGGCATTTGTGCTGCTTTATAGAACTATGTGATCTAACAAAAAGCGCAGCTCATCTTCTCACCTAAACATCGTAGCTGAGGGAACGACTGGGACTGTAATTATCCCACTTGTCCGTGCTGGTTCAGAAACTGTGAGCATTTAGTGCTGGTTCCTGACGGAGAAGGCTCCGGGAGGGTCCCCCACGTGTTCCCTGCTCGTCAGTTTTGCCCATTCGCTGTCGCCTGGTGGCAAGGTTTGTCTCCATCAAAGGGACTAGTTGTCACCCACCCGAGGTGACAGGGAGAGGATGTGGCAGCGCCTCCAGTGCGGACGTACCGTCTGAGGGCTGGTACCCGCAGGGCAGCAGATGCTGGGTCTGCTCTGCGAAGAGCTGCAGGGCCCTGCTGTCCTGCAACCCTGACAGAAACCGGAGGCTTTTAACCCAGAAAGCTCTGGGCACGCCACATCGCTCCGACTCCGTGCCTGCTCCAGATCTGCTTTGTTGAGGATCCTTTTGCTGGTTCTGCTCAGACCGTGTTCTTAGCAACTACTGGGCTCCGTGAAGTACTGTAAAAGACAAGACAATGTGGAAGTAGTTTGGCTGCTTCAGAGTTGCTTTCAAGCAGGAATCAAAGTAGAGAGTTGTCAGATCCCTGGGGTCCTAGGAGCTCCCTTAAGGTGTTTGCCAAACAGTTGGGAGCCGTGTTCCAACATGGAGAAAAACGTTGGCGTCCAACTTTCCTGCTTTTTTTGCTGAGTGTTGTAGGTGTCCAGAACTTCAATAAGGCCAAAAAGTTCCGGGCTAGAACGAGAGTTTAACTGAGCATGGGTTACTTCGTTCTGCATGTTTTAAAAAAATAAAGTACACTGTTAACTTCTTATCAGATAGCAGCAAGTACCGAACTCAGGTGTGTGCAGGTGGAGCTCACCTGCGTGAGGAGCTGCTGAGCCGCCGTTTGGAAGTGAGCGTGGAGCTGAACAAAGGCGGTCACGGGGATGCGCCAGCCGTCGCTGCAGTTGTGGCTGCAAAAGGAGGAACGTGCTGCAGGACGGGTCTGGCCTTGAGCCTTCCGAGGGCGCTGCTCCCTGTCAGCTGCTTCCCAGCTGTTGAAAAGCGCTGCAGATAGGAATTTGAGTATTTTAAAGGAATTTGAGTACTTTAAGAAGTATTAATCGTGTTTCGGTGTCCTGGTGATTTGCGTGACAGTGTTTTTTTTACCAACTGAACAGTCTTTAAAAGACAGTAACGCTGTCCAGACTTAGAGATATGGGGAACAAATACTGCAGCGACCCGAGCGGTGCCAGCGGGTCGGAGTTTCTCGGCCTGTAGCACCCTCTGCTGTTCCCACAGGGGGCTCTCAGAAATTGGGTTCTGTAGTGGTTTTTGCAGCGTTCACGTCTTGGTGGTGTGTCGAGGTTGTTGAGCCGCCAGCACACCGAGGTTCCCCCACGTTGCTGTAATTACATCAGACCGGGCGGGCGCCATCCCCCGAACACGCGCCCACCGTGGGCGTTCGGTCCCGTCGCCGGGTCTTGTCTCGTGCTGAGGACCCCGACGGAATTCCCGGGTGAGCGAGGGACTGGAATCCCGGCGCAGCTCCTGCTCTTTTGAATTCATTGGGAATTTGGGGTTTTTCTGTAAGATTTGGCTTAGCTGGAGCGACTCAGGGAAACCCTGGAAATGGCCTTTGTGCCCCGTGGGTACCACGGGAGTTGGACATAACAGCCAGACGTTGCTGTGGTTGCCGTGAAGCCCCCAAATCAACGCGGTAACGACAAAGGTTGTTCATTCGGGTGTTGAACCAGACCTAAGCATGGAAGTGTGCAGTAATCTCCACCTCAAAGAGAGGAGGCCATTGCCCGTAGAACAGGAGGTGTGAATGCTCGGGGAACCGGCGCGGAAGGCGCTGGGTGGTCACACAAAGCCTCTCCATGGTTAGCCGCCGTCCTGGTCCGGCGTGGGGGGGCAGAAGTGCTGCGTTACTCCGTGCCGTCACTGAAGTTTCTTTCCCTTCTTTTTGCAGTGCTCCCTTTGACAGGATCGCGGAGATAAACTTCAATATAGATGCGGATGATGACAGTGTAAGTGGGTATTTTGGGGTATTTATTGAACAGGACAGACTCGGGCAAGGTCACGCTTGAATCGGCTGTTGTCATTCTGAAAGAAAAAAGATCTGGCGTGTTATTTGGGTCAGCGGAAAGGTGTCCTCGTAGCTGAGTCCACTTCAGGAACTCGGGGCCTTACAGGTACGCTCAGAGAATCTCCCTGCAGTTTATAGCTGCGGTGAGGATCTGCAAGAGTAGTGCCCTTCGCATCCAAGGAATCTTTCTCTCTCTCTGCAGTGTCAGTCTGTTGTTCTGGTCCTTACTTCGATAGGCTTTCCATGCACAGCCTAGGAAAAAATGCCAAGAGAGAGGACTGGGGTTCTTGTGGGTCTGAGCATTGCTGTGCTGTGCCTTGCCTTTTCTGTTTAACTGACCTAAAGGACGCTGCACAGTGGCTCAAAGGGGTGATTCCACGCTCATCTCCTGACCAAAGCTTGGTTTTGTCGATACTAAGTAAGACTTAGGTTTTCCTTAGTCTTAAAATATTTCCTTTTTCACTCGAACAGCACTGGGAAGAGTTTTTCTTCTCTCTTCTGGCTCCTCTAGGCAGCCTGCAGCCACCAGGAGCTGTTCATACGCTTCTCTCCACTTGGGTTTCTCCTTTGAGGGGGCAGTTTTGGTGGGGGGGGGAGTTGCCCTGCAGCCCTTGGTTTGCCCTGCACCACCTGCGGGTCGCCACGGAGTCAGTCGTTCAATGGCGAGCTCCAGGAGGCCGCAGCAGGCGCCGTGGGCGTGCGTGTGCGGGCGCCTCGCTGCACCAGTGCCTGAAAACAGTCGTTTCCAGCGTGAAGCTCGTACGTCTCGAAGGGGGGACGTGCACATGAGTGGGGCGTGGGCAGGTTTGCTCGGAAGCTCCCTGCAGCCCTGTCGGGGGAGTGCGGTCACGGAAGGAAACCGCACTGGGGATTGTTCATCCAGGGGGACGGTTCGCAAACGGGGCACGGCGTTACTCGCCGAGTTCCGGGCTGGGCAGCTTGGGAACGTGTTCCTGAGGGAGCTCTTGCCAGCCCTCTCCTGCGTCCCTGCCGTGGGGGGGGGGGCAGCGGGAGTCGGGGGACACGCAGCC